GACCCTCTAACAGTGCAGCGCTCCCTCAGCACTGACCCTCCGACAGTGTGGCACTCCCTCAGCACTGACCCTCCGACTGTGCGGCACTCCCTCAGCACTGATACTCTGACAGTGCGGCACTCCCTCAGCACTGACCCTCCGACAGTGCGGCACTCCCTCAGCACAGACCCTCCAACAGTGCAGCGCTCCCTCAGCACTGACCCTCCGACAGTGCGGCACTCCCTCAGCACTGATCCTCCGACTGTGCGGCACTCCTTCAGCACTGACCCTCCGACAGTGCGGTGCTCCCTCAGCACTGACCCTCCGACTGTGCAGCACTCCGTCAGTACTGATCTGGATTCATAAGTTTACAAATTATTCTGAAGAAACCTGCATGAGACTCGGACCCACCATCCTCTGAGTGGATGTGAAAGTGAGAATTGGCCAAGTGAAAAGCTGGATGCGTTCATTGCTTTTGACGAACACTTCCTGAGAAACTGGAATGGTTAGATAACTGCGCGCGAGATTGCAATCATAACAAGAAGGTGAGCTACGAAGGGGTGGATTAAACAGCGTCCATTCAGCCAGCCAAACATGCCTGCAGCATGAGCTTTCAGTGGCCAATACTTACAAAGCCCCGGAAGAGTGTGTAAGCAGCTGCAAACAGCAGATATATCACAAAGCAAACATCCAGGGGCCTCCGATACAGCCATTTCCTCTGCTCTGCGGCAACCTGAGGGAAAAGCAGAGGCAGAGTCAGAAAGAAACAGCCGGTTCAGATTAAAAACTGATCAATAACTGATCATTTATATCAGACCACGACTAAACAGAAAACTTGCTCATTTAATGAATGGTCAAGAAGGAATTAATTGATAAGTAATTAATAATTAAACTATAAATCAGGGGAATAATAATAAGCTATAAATACCCATTAATGGGTTATCATTAGGGATTTTCAATATATTATAATTTTGATAGCATGCAGAATAAAGCTTCCTCTACGCTGTTTCCATCGGTCATAGAGTCATAGAGTTGTACAGCATGGAAACAGAATCACTCCTGGGACAAGTACAGCATGGGGTTAGATACAGAGTGAAGCTCTCCCCACTCTTCTAAGCAAGAAGTAAAGCTTCCTCTACACTGTCCCCATCAAACACTCCCAGGACAGGGACAGCATGGGGTCAGATACAGAGTTAGGTGTTATTAGCTGTCAAGGAAATGAGCACTAAGGTATCTCCAGGTTATTACAAGTGCTCCTTACCTGATCTGCTGTCACCTTTGGTAATGCTCTGGGAATCCCATATATTTTCTTCCCAGCCCAAATTGGGATCAACATATACGGAATATTCAGCAGGATTGCAGGACGGATTTCAGTTCCATATTTACCTTCATGAATTGAGACAAAAATTATCAGTTGAGATATAAGAAAACACTGAATCTTTCACACGTGTTCCTTTTATAAATCATTGCCTAATGTTTTATTGATGAAATATCATGCAACAAGATGTTAAGTGGAGATTTCCAGTATTTTAATCTACTTTGTGAAAGAAACATCCAACAAAGGGACAGCATGGGGTTAGATACAGTGTAAAACTCTCTCTCCACTGTCCCCATCAAATACTCCCAGGACAGGTACAGCATGAGGTTAGGTATGGAGTAAAGCACCCTCTACACTGTCCCCCCCATCCAACACTCCTAGGACTGGGGCAGTGCAGGGTTAGATACAGAGTAAAGCTCCATATACTTTGTTTCAGTGAGTAGTCTCTGATAAGAATATGCCTTCCCAAGCTGAAGATTATCATACGTCTCAACTTTTTGTCTTTCCTTTAAGAAAATCCTAAAATTGACCAAGTTTTTTCTATCGGCTGTAATATATTCCTATGTGGCTCTGCGTCAAGTCTTGCTCCATAATGTGCTCCTCTATAAAGCATCTTGTGACATTATATTTTGTTCAGGACATTACATGTATGCAAAATGTCATTATGACTGTTCCATTATCTCATGTCAGCATTGTCTTCCTCCCAGTGGAACAGTTTGTTGGGAACAACCTCAGGCAGGTCCAGTTACTCACCTATGACAGTTCCAACTAGAAGGGTCACGAGACTCATGAGAATGGAACCCACCCAGTAGAGGCCAACACTGCGGTAAGTCCAGCTGTAGGAAGATCACAGGCTTTAGTGATTGTGTGTGATATATATCCTCACTACTTCAGTTTCAATACAAACCTAATTCAATCAGTTTAGCTTGGGCAATCTCCTAGGGAGTCTGAGCCACCCCCTCTCCAAGGTCAGTACCACCTTCTAGAGGTGTGGTGCCCACAATCGAATATAAGTGCCTCATGTGCGATCATTCGATGTGAGCTGCTCTTGATGCCTTACCCCAGTGAGATCGCTGTTATCATCATCAAGTAGAGGGCGTAATGGACTGTCCCATTCCAGTAACAGATCAGTATTCCATAGGCACTGCGAAGATATGGCTCCCCCTGTCAAAGGATCAGAGCATCAGTCCCAGGCATCAGCCCCGCTCCATTGCCCGCCACTACTCTGAGGACAGCTGCACTGTCACATCTTTAAAAATGTTTTCATGGGATGTGGACATTGTTGCCAAGGCCAGCATTTGTTCCCCATCCCTAATTGCCCCTCGGCTTGCTCAGCCATTTCAGAAGGCAGTCAAGACTCAACCATTGCTGTAGGCCTGGAGTTACATACAGGCCAGACCTGTTAAGGACGGCAGATCTCCTTCCCTAGAGGACATTGATAAACCAGTCGGGTTTATACACAAATGATGATGGCTTAACTGTCACCATCACTGAGGTTAAATTTCAATTCTGGATTTTTGCAATTTTTTTATTAACTGCATTAAATACAATCAGGTGCCATGTTTGGATTGAACATCAGAGAATCAGCCTGAATCTCCAGTGAAATTACCAGTATACAACCAGCACCCCTAGTGGCACAAACTTACAATGTTCAACAAACCTGATGAAACAGCAGAATGCAGGAGAACATATTCTCAACATTGGGTCATGGGGATAGCCACTTGGCAAACACACAGTTCAAATGGCACAAGTAACAGAGAATCAGATACCTCACCTGGGTCTACACTGAGTTGCTAATAGGAAATGAGGACTCACCTTTCCTGGATTTGGGAAGGGGAGGTCAGCCAAATTTCATATTCCCTGTCACTAATCAGTAACCTTATACCCAGCTCTGCACGGTCAAACAGTCAGTTGTTCCCTCTCACCCTCCCCCATTGTCTCACCACAAACAGGGTTAGGGAAACCTCCTCACTGAGTCAGGCTGCAGTCCCCAGGGACAGAGGGCGGTGGTGTGTTGGGGAGCTGAAATCAGCTACAGTAAAAAAGGAAATTGTTTTTCTCTGCCTTTCAAAGCCATAGGATATCTCTAAGTGTTTTACAGCTTTTTTTGAAATGTAGATGGTCTCACAAGGGACCAGTTGGCTCAGTTGGATAGATAATTAGCACCTGGTTTGGAATAACGGTAACCTGCTGGTTTGTTTCCCATTCTGATATTCAGGACATGCCCCTCACCCTGCTCCTGATAATGGAAGGATCCAGCAAACACCATTGACAAAAACTGCCAAAAAGACAGCTCAGCGTGTTCAACAGACAATGGGCAAGAGTGCTGCCTTCAAACGGAGCATATGAGTCAATGTCATTATGACATGGCAAGAGGCCATTCAGCCCAACAAAGCCACTGTTGCAACGTAAGAAAAACAGTTACCAATTTGCGAACAGCAAGGTTCTACAATCAGTAATGAGAAAATGTTCAGTTTTAATGTTGCTGTTAGAGGGGTGAATGTTGGCCCAGAATCCCATACTCTTTAAAAATTGGCTGCAGCCCCCGTTATTTCCACACAAGAGATCAGAAAGTTTAATATTTCATCTGAAAGATGGCACCCCCAGCGGTACTGCACTGATACCATGATGGATTATAGTTTCAAATCTCAGGAGGATAGAGAGGTCCATATTATGCAAGGGATTCATGGGAGATTGATGAAACTACCAAAGAAATGGACGGATCTTAGCTGCAGAGCACGAAAACAGACGGAACTTCTTCCCACCGTCAACAGTAGCGTTTTGAACCTACTTCTTTCAAGTAGAATCCCATGAAGCCTTTGATGTAGCCATCCTGTTCCAGGGAGATAATTAAATCGATGACACTTGTAAAGGAGAACACAGTAAAGGCTGCAAGAATAGATAAGAGGTTAGTAAACACTCCCTGTTACCTCATTCCCTAAGACCATAAGGAATAGGAACAGGAGTAGGCCATTCAACCCCAAAAGCCTGCTCTGCCATTCAATATGATCATGGCTGATCCGACATTCCTCACACCCCCTTTCCTGCCCTTTCCCCGTAATCCTTAACTTCCAACTGATCAAGAATCTATCTATCTCAGCCTTAAATATACACAAGGACTCTGCCCCCACAGCTCTCTGTGATAAGGAGTTCCAAAGGCTCACAGTCCTCCGAGAGGAGAAATTCCTCCTCATCTCAGTCTTAAATTGTTGCCCCTTTATTCTAAGACTCTGCCCTCTTGTCCTAGACTGTCCCATGAAGGGAAACATCCTCTCAGTAATTATTCTGTCAAACCCCTTAAGAATTTTCTATGTTTCAATGGGATCACCTCTCATTCTTCTAAACTCCAGTGAGTAGAGTCCCAACCTGTTAAACTTTTGCTCATAAGAAGATCCGTCCATACTGGGGATCATCCTAGTAACCTTCTCCCGACTGCCCCATCATGGTCCTCTGTGTGATATCACTGTCGCTCCAGCCTGCTTCTCTCTCATGCCACTCTTATTAAACCACCCCTTCCTGACAACGTTCCTCTTCTGTCACCACCTCCCCCTTCCCTCGACATCAACATGAAGTTAATGGCCATGGAACAATGGCACCATTACACTCAATAATCCCTATATCTGTTACTCACTGGGAGTAATACATCTCCTTAACAGTGGTTACCTAGTTTTCTGTGTTCACTTGTTCAGCAATCCCAGTTTGAATCCCCAGTTTTCATTGTTTATAGCATCTCTCTGGTTTAAGTTTAGAATCAAGCAATTGTCCCAGATTTGATTTTGCAGCTCGTGATGTCCATTCAGAAATTAGTAATAAATTCGAAAGCCCCATAAAGCTCAGCACTCTTCATGGCAATTGAGTCAACTGCCCTATCGCTTACCATAGAACAGGGGGTCTTTGGGGGGTCTTCCAATGACGAGCAGGTACAACACTAATACCAACAACAAGCCAAGGAGGACTCCAACGCCAGCATAAAACACCGCCATGGGGCTGTGGAAGGGACAGGGAGAAAGGAATTAGTCACAGGAGCTCCTGTGAAGGGGGCAGTCATTATTGGGGGAAAACTGGACCAACTGATGATTATTTTGATGAAAATCATGAATGGGTTTGATTGGATAGTGTATAGAAAAAAAGTTTTCATTCGTGGGCAAGATCAGAGCTAGGGACCATGAACCTAAGACAACCAGTAACAAATCCAATTGGGAATTCAGGAGGGACTCCTTTAAACTGAGAGTGGGGAGAATTTGGAACTTGCTCCCACAGGAAGTGGGCAAGGTGAATGATAGTGATCTATTTAAGAGGAAGTGGGATCAATACATGAGGGAGAGAGGAATAGACAGAGGGGATGAGCTGAGGAAGGATGGAAGGAGGCTCATGTGGAGCAGAAACACCAGTTGGGCCAAATGCCTGTTTATGTAAATGATTAACAACATGATCCAAATGAGAGTAGCAATGAGCAAAAAACACAAACACTGAGAACTAAAACTCATCAATCTCAATTCATATTTCCACCTTGAACTGAGACTCTAGATTACAACCAAAACTTCATTTTTTTTATAAATTAGCTTCAGACTGAGGCCAGAGCCAGTCTCACTCCAGACTGGGGTTAATTCACAGGCAGTATAATAAAGAGAAGCTCCAACTCTGAGCTCAAGGTTTAAAGTCAAGTCTGACCTCAGAGTGCAAGGGTCGAGAGTGACAATACAGAACCCTGCTGATAAATGGGACTGACTGGATATGAGAATGTTGGAAAATGGGCAGCCCATGTCTAAATGCTCACACACTATTACTCCCTCTGCTTTCCTATTAACAGATAGGCTTTTCAACAAAATTTGAAAAGCATTTTATTTGAGTGGTGCATCTCTGAAATCTGTTACATTCACCACCGATACCAAACACTGAGCCCACTACCTACTTACGTCAGCCCATTGGGACACAGAGTCATCCATCTCAGAATTCTAAAACCTGATGGACAGCTTGGAGCAAAGTGGCTTTTACACTATCACCTTACTTTATTTTCTAGCGCCCCTCCTGAGGGGGATGGGGCACAGCGTCCTCCATGCTTTTCCTGAAGGGGCTGACTCTCACTGGGGTACAGGGTCCCTCTCCATTCCTGAAGGGGCTGGCCCTCACTAGTGTACAAGGTCTCCCTCCCATTCCTAAAGGAGCTGACCTCACTGGGGTATGGGGCACCCCTCCCTTTCCTGAAGGGGCTGATCCTCACTGGGGTATGGGGTCCCCCTCACTTTTCTGAAGGGGCTGACACTCACTGGGGTACGGGGTCCCCCTCCCTCTCCTGAAGGTGCTGACCCTCACTGGGGTATGGGGTATCCCTCCCTCTCCTGAAGGGGCTGACTCTCACTGGGGTACAGGGCCCCTCCCATTCCTAAAAGAGCTGACCGTCACTGGGGTACTGGGTCCCACTCCCTTTCCTGAAGGGGCTGACTATCACTGGGGTATGGGGTCCCCCTCCCACTCCTGAAGGGGCTGATCTTCACTGGGGTATGGTGTCCCCCTCCCTTTTCTGAAGGGGCTGACACT